CTTCTCTAGATTTAATTATGGACTTTGTTCACAAAACTTTAGGAGGCTTTGTGTAATTAATAGGGAAACTGGTACAATAGGACTCTTCTGGCCGCAGTATCCACTTTTAATAATAATAATAATAAACATTTGCTGTATTGCTTCATCAACTCTGCATCAGTGGTGTGTCTAAAGGGAAAATCAATGGAATTCCACTGAATTTATATTTCAGTACTAATACTACATCAGCGATAAAGCCACAAGATTGACTTAGATCCTTAAAGGGAATGTCGTGGTGTTTCTCGTTAAAATCCAAACTAACGTAGGTAGAATAATTGTATTCATTTGCAATCATTCGATATGGAATTGCATTTTCCAAATGGGTACTGTGACCCAAAGATCAGCAAAGGTGTTAGATAGGCCACGCTCCTCACAAAGGAGAAAGTTATGCCCGAACACATAACTTCAACTAGTACCGACTAAATTTCCTGGAATTTCAATATAGCGTTCATCAGCTCAATACACCGATGCATTTGTGAAAAATACCGTGATGTTGAGCTTCTCGGCATGAATCCACGTTAAGTTCTAAACCTACATATAGATGGCCCTAAAAGAATTTACTTTCAAACAATCACATAAAAAGTTTCATTACAATTTTTATATAGTTTTGTTTTATATTTTAGTACTAATACTGTTACGGCAATATCAGATATATGAAAACCATGACAGAGTCAAAAATATAGTCGCCAACCATTCGCTTGGCGTCTAAGTAAAAGTCATTTCTACTAGTAACCGACACATACTTCGTGTTGCCGTCATTCACTGTTAAGCCTGTTTTTGCAGACTCCTTCTCGATGTCTTACGTTTCCTTAATATTTGTTTATTGAATTAGCTTCTCCCATTGAAAATCATAGTTACAACCTTAAAAGTTTTATATGGTTGAAGTATTGTACAAAGTAATAGTCGAACCTAAAACTATAACACAAAGAAAGTTCTGGGTTACTAGTAGAATGAAATTATAATTATAATAGTAAATATATTATATTAGCCACAGATTATTGCCAAATAGAAGAAATAAAGGTTATCATTTATTTCATTTGGGATTTCCGCATATCAGATAAGGAGAGTAAACACCAGCTCAGTATTCTGTTTTTGGATCCAGTTAATCATGGAGAGTTTTTTTTATTTTAAAGCATTGTGCCATCTCAGACAACTCATTCTCCTTTTTTTAGGGTAGGTAAAAAGCATTGACAGACCAAAACGTCAAAAAGCATATAACCTTTAACGCAGTAAAACCACCTCTTAGGAATGAAGGGATAAGATTTCCACGACTGGCCTGAAGAGCAATATGAAGAATATCATTCTAGTAATTAGTGGGGATAATCGCAACTTAGAAGTCTAAAATTAACTAAGCCAGACTTAATGTAACCCAAATGTAGCTGAAAATTTTTGCGAGAATTTATTTAATGATTTTTTAAGTCATACTGGTATAAGTCTATAATTGAAAGGCTTCGAAATAGAGAAGTTTAAATTTAGAGAAGTGTTTAGAATACTTGTAAGTCATTATTTTGACTCACATCTTTCGCATGCGTTCCAAACATTAACAGTGAGTAAGTAGTTTCATAATCTGTTTCACGGGTTAAACTTTAATCTTCAACTGCTACACATAATCTTTACAAAAAACTGTTATTAAAACATTTATTAAAACGTAGAACCTTTAAGTTTAAATGTAGTAGAAAAAGTAGTTAGATACAAGGTTTTTGTCTCTATTTTTTGCTGTTTCTACTAAAATTATTCTAACAATAAAGTTTTTATGAAAGTCCCTACTTCGCAAAAAAAAGATCGTAAAACCAGTTTGAGTTCGTAGCAGAGTCAAGTACCTTCGCAGTATGGAATAATTGAATGCTCGTTACACTTCTGTGCAGTAGGAAGCAAAGCGGTACGTTACGAAAATAGTTCAGTTTGTGATGCAATGCAAAACCTGTTGCCGCTATGACGCGAAATGAAGTAAAAAGAACTCTAATGGATGTTTAACTAAGCGACTGTTAAGTCTACTGTTGCGGTTACTATGTCACCATTCGAGGTGACTTTGAAAATGGACAAGTTGAGCAAGTTTTTGCAACCCTTTTAGATAATTCAGGTAGACAAAGCTGCGAAAATTAAAAATAAAGACTAAAATTACGGAAATAAAAATGGGTCAAATGCAAGTTAAAAATGTCAATAATTTACTGCAAATTTAAAAAAATTAAACTTTTTGAATTTAATCGTAAAATTATTTTAATAAAATACTCAGAATTATCTCATACACCTTACAATAAAGACTTTTATAAAAAAAATTAAGTTCATACAATATATTTAAGTTAAAATATATTGTATGAGACTTTAAGTTATATACAAGTTAATTAATAATATATTTAATAAATTAAATTTATTAATATATTTTATATCGCACACACAGTTAAAGAAACGATTAAAACCTTTGTATTTACCATAAATATTCAATTGTGTTATATTGCGCTAAATGGTTGATTAATAATTTTGGTCAACAAATAATTAAATATTAATTAATAAAAGAATAAATGCAAAGATAATACAAAAAAAAACAAAATTTAGCAAGAAATAAAATAAATTTATTTATTAAATTTCCTGAAGTACATGAAAAGCTTGGAGACTTCGAGTCTCTGTAGACTTCACAGCAATAAGCTTCGTTGTGCTTTTTGCCACAACATATACAGCAAAATGTTAATAACATTGTAAAATTTAACATAATGAAACTGCTGTTAAAATACGGTTATTGCTTCTTAAAGCTTGTGTTATTAAATATTAACACAATTGAACTATAAATAAAATGTATCTTTATTTATTTATTTTTATTTATTAAAGAATTATTTATAATTTTTTTATAATTGTCAATAATAAAAGAAGGATTGAGTTAATAACTGATGTAAGCATATTATTGGATGATATAAAAAGTAAGGGTGAACCTTTTTTGGCACATTTTTAAACAAAAATAATATTTATTTATTAATAATTAGTTTTAAATAATTTTGTATTGGCCATTCTTATTTATAACCTCTTGTCATATTTCGGTTAACTTCATAATTCTATCAGTGTAAAACTTATGTGCTTTATCAGCGGAAAATCTGACCATCGGGTTTTCAGCGTTTGAGCAATTTTTTACCACTAACAGAGTTTTGCAAAGACCGAAACAAATGACAGTCAAGTGGGAAAAGGACCGAGCTATGTGTTAAATGCATCAAAACTTTCCAACCAAGTTCCGTCAAATTATCCTAAGTCATTAAAGATGTATGTAGCCTGGTATTATAACGGAACACAACTTATGCTCTGTTTACCCATACTGATCGCTCTACCATAACTGTTTCTTTCAAACGATCATCCAGTTTCACTCGAAGCAATTCATAATAAACAATTCCCACTAAACACGTATTACAACCTTATTTGCCGTCAGTCTGGGCTTAAAGCCCTTTGTGGAGGATCACTGACTTTCAACTATGATCCAATGATTTCCTGCGTTGGGTGTTCTCTTTAATTGATGTGGAATATGTTCAGGATTAAACATCTTAATTACTCTAAATTATAATAGTAAGCACATGTTCATACTTGAACAGTGCTTTAGACACTAACTCACGTTTCATCATGCAAAGAAGATATAGTATTTTTGTGACAATTTTTATTATATATATATATTTGTTAAATAAACTTTAACAGTTTAGTATTTACTACTTATTTTTTAAAAAAGCATATGTTAATAATTGCACTATATATAAATATCAACTGGTAGTGCATAGATTCATTTATTAAACTTATATCATATAAAAAAAATATGTAATATTATAAAAATAAAAAAAAATTAATTATTAAAAAATAAATTTTTTAATATCATAAAATATTATTAATATACATGTTCCCTAGTTCAAGAACAGAAAGTTGATCTAGAACCAAGTAATCGCCCGATGCTTCTCTACGGGTGTGTTGCATATAGCAAAGCTGGCAACTTTACTATCCAAAAGCTAGAAGTTGCTCAAAGTTAGGCTCTCCGAAGACTCTTCAATGTGTCATGATACATCTGCACGAATGACATGCTAAGAGATCTCAGAATAGACCCTATAAAAAAATACATAAGAGACAGAGGCCTGAAGCAATAAGCAAAAACTGACACGCTGCACTACTTAACACTATCTAATATCAGAGCAGTCACTAGCCGTATGGGATGGTATGCAGATCTTAGATCAGTCATCGAATAAGCAGTGAATCTTGTGAGAAATACATAAATTAGTCAAAGAGAAGGGAGCGGCTCTGTAGAAACTTCCAGCTAACAAAGAGTAAAAGTATCCAGTCGCACTTACTCGAAAAAACTTCAACATAAGAGCTGTAATTCTTTATGTATATCTACATTATTATGATGATATTTTTATACATGATATGTTTTATAAAATGATGAAACCAAAGAGAAATTTCTCACGAGATACACATGCGCAAGTGAAGCTGTTTAAGCTACACGCTATAGAGGCTCCAAGACGAAATCGCCCGAATGACCATAAACTGGAATCCGAAGTGAAGCCAACAAAAAAAATTGAAGGCGGTTGCATCTAACGACATGGAAGAATCTAATTGTGGCCTTTCCTCCCCATAGAATTTAAGGGATATATGTTTTTATAACAATGTGTTGTATACATGAGACTCAGATATTGTTTGAGCATGGATCTGAGTTATCTCACTTGCTATTTCTAGCTCATATGCTCTCTTCTGTTAAGTACCTTATCCAAATCGCCTTCTAACATTTCATTTTATCGAATATCACAGTATCTACACAAATTGTTAAACTATAGTTATAATAGTTTATCCAATAAAAGTGCAAAGAAGGAAGAATTTTATTATAACTCCATTAATACTTTAATCCGTAATATTTTTCTGGCAGCAATTGCAATACAATTTTTGATTAAAAAATGAAAAATTATAAAATTGAAAATAAATAATTTTAGTTTTCACTAATTTTTTTACATAATTATTTCAAAAAAGATTCTATTATTTATTTTTTACTTTTTTAATTACTTTCTAAATTATGTCTCCCACCTTTGATCCACGCGTAACTATCAATACCGTTGTAAGAGTCGATCATCCATCATTTCTTACAACCCTTGATGTCAGTACCGAAATTGATGAGCTTATTAAGCCAGAACCTTTGAAAACGAATTTAAAAACATGGAGTGTTTACCAAGTTGGTTGTCAATTATTAAAGGCAATTAATATCGCTCAAAACGCTTATTGCTTTGAAAATCAGAAAAAACTTATACTACACGAATCCCTGAATAATATCTTCAGTTGGAATATTGCGGATAACCTTGCAAGACGTCTGGAAGATTTGAATTGGTGGAAATTATTAATGTGGCGGGAAGACCCTCAATCTTTAAATACAAGCAAAACAGAGCATGATTTTGCGCAACTGGGTAAGTACATCAAGGAAGTGTTGGAGGAGTATTTCAATAATAGTGAAGATAATAAATGCTTGGAAGTACTGGAGTAAGTAAACATTTCAATAAAACATCTAATTTTGAATAAGTTTAATAATATATCTACTTTGTTTTATTGATCTAAAGTCCTGTTATACAAAACCACAATTTTTACGACATATTACTAGCGTCACGTAAACGTAAGACAAGTGTAGAATTTGGTCTTTTCCGTACAATTGCGTCTAGTAAATTTTTGGTTAATATTTCGCAACAACGCATTCGGCGAAAATATGGGCAAGAACAATTAATGTTTAAGAAAAGTAAGATATAGAGTTCAAATCAACCTATATGCTATTTTATATTTAATATAAATTATCTCTCTATATACAAGTTGTTGATCCAATAATTGAACGTTACCGATTGGCACATCAAATTGGTGTGGAAACTCAATTTACGCAGCTCTACAAACTTAACGTCGAAAATCTTCAGAAAGAAATAAGGGATATTTCAAAATTACACAATCAGTCTAAACATACAACTTACTGTACTTGCAATATGTACTACATGGAATCAGAGGTAAGTTCACTTATCAAGTATCTAGTCACTTTAGTTCTAGAGTTCTTTAGTTCATTTCTATTGAAATTTCTGTTATTGAAGAACTTACGTCAGTCTATAAGTACAATGGAAGAAAAGTATAGGAAACGTTATGATGAAGAAGAAGATAAAAAAATTATGCTTAATTCTGCTATACAACAATATAATGTTAAATTGCAGCAAGCGCAAACGAAGATTGTTTATATGAGGGAACAACTTGCAGAGGTCCAACAAATACAGGCAGATAAGGAAGAAGCTGCACGAGAAAAAGAATTGGCCCTATTGAGAGTATGTATTAACAAACAGTAACATTTGTTATCATAAATTATAACTTTCTGAATTATTACTTTAAGCATATCAGGTTAAACAAATCATAAATAACAATGCGATCATCATCTTCTTCTAGTTATAATGTCTAGATACCATTATAAAATTTTTTTTTTTATAAACCCGACTTATTGTTATGTTTTCTTTAATGATTGAAAAAATTGTTTTAAAAATCACTACAAGTTTTCAACTGCTTTAATACAGGACTGACTATATTAGGACTATGTTGGTGGACCTAATATCTTCAATTTTAATATCTTCATATTTAACAAAACATATTTTTTCTGTTCAAGTTAGTAATTACTTAACTTCATTTAGAAAGATTTTAATATATCACTTACTGAAAATCAAATCGCGCCAGTTTTTGACATTTCTGATCCCAATGTTTTAGCCACGTATATTGACCTTACATTCGATTAGCGTCATTGACTTGTTGATATAAATCTTTAACTTCAAGTAATCGCAAAGAAAAAAGTCTGTCGGTGTCAAATCTGGCGAATGCAACCGATCAAGAAATATAATTGTTTGTGATATGAGCTGTATGAGGTGATGCGTCATCTTGTTAAAACCATAAGTGCTACCCATCATTAATATAAACATATGGAATCAAAAAATCTGTTATTACAACCCAATAATACATTATTTTGCACTGAGTTCTTTGGCTGCGAAATTTTCATCGGATCGTACTATTTACTTTTAATCTGGAGTCCTGGGATTAGTGACAATACCAGAAAATAAAAATTTACCGAATAAAATGTTTGACTCTATTTTTCGATGGTCACACTTTTGAATTTATTTTTTCATCTCAATTTTGAAAGTACTGCTAAATAACTACAGTATTATAGTGCTACAAGTTACAGTGCTACCAGATAAGTACATCTAATATCACCAAATCTGTATTTAAATACGTACTCTTATTAGTCATTTCCACCTTCCTTGTTAAGGCTACACTGCTACCAGATGGGTAAACCGAATATTTTCAACCCTGTATATAGTCGTAAGAAACATGTCTCACCATATATCCCCATGTACAAAATTAAATTTTCTTTACAGACTTTTTTAATCCCGTGCATGCAAATTGGTGACTGAATTTCAGTAACTGAATTACTGGACTTTAATAAAGTTACCTATTTTGAACAATGTGGGTGTAGCTTACTTTTTGAGATGTCAAGGTTTAAAGATTTACTATTTTGGAAAGATTTCACTAATAAGAACTACATCCAACTTCAAATTGATTACGATTCACATAACGTTTTCTTATTCTTAGTAAGAATGTCCAACTTTAAAGCCAAATATCTCGAAAACAGTACTGAAAAAAGAATTTTTTAATGTGTTTTGTTTAAATTAAATGTTTTTCAAAAAGACATACCCGAGATATCGAAATCGTCTCCAAACAATGATTAATTTTATGACTAGAGTAAGCTATCAGTTGTCCTAAAATGTGCCCTAAATATATATTATTTTCTTAAATTTCTTTTCTTGTGGTGGTATGCACGTTTCTAAATAATTTAAGAATTTCCTTTATAAAATGGATTAAGTTAGAATCGAAAAACTCAAGTTAATTTATTACCATAACGAACAATCTATATCTATCTAATGCTTTATCTATTACTGTAACTTTTAAGCACCATTAATATAAGTAAGTTTAAGGAATTTCGACTTTCTTTTAGAGAAACACCAACCACCACTGATAAACCACTTGGCTTCAAGTCCTTATTGCAAATCCTTATGAGATCCATTTAGTCGAATATACCCAGCTGTGCTATATTCTTAGTATAAAAATGAGAAGTTAAGTCTTTGTCTGGAGAGAGCCGAACACTGCCCTAATAAAAATTTAAAGTTTCTTCTATGCCCTCATCCTTCTCCAACTTCTCCGTTAATTCACTTTTATCTAACAAATCAAACCTATTTAACAAATTTTATAGCTTAAATTCAAATAATTCCATGACTTTTAATTATCAGTACTATATATTATATATAATAATTCGATTCTTATTTAAGGCTCAAAAGCGAAAAACAAAGTTAAAAAAATCTTTAGAAAAGTCCAAAACTCCAACCATAATTTCAAAACCAAAAAAGCCGAAAAAAAAGAAGAGTCCAAGAAAGGAGAACTGAAATCTTAAACACAACTTAATGAACAAAGTATAAAAGTCAAAATAACAATATTAAAATTCAAAAAAAAAAATTAATTAATTAAATTATTTAAAATGATTATATAAACCAAAAACTTAAAATTTTTAGTATTAGAAATAAAAATTCAGCACGATAAAATGGTTGGCTATAAAATGTGTAACTCAATAAGTGAAAGTTGAGAAAGGGTTAAGAATAATTTTTTGGTTTTATATAAAATGTATATGGTATGGATATATTATATTTGGAATCATCAGAAAACGTTTTAACAAAATAAAACAAAAGTTTTTACCTATAAATGTAAAATTTAATTTTTTTTTCGAGCTTCAATAGATTATTTCCACCTTTTGTATATCTTTCATTCACAAAATTTGCAATATAAACATATGGAATAGGGCAGAATTAAAATGATTTCCTCATACTAAGTTAACCAAATTATAAAACACATACCATAACACAATATCACTAGTACATTCTCTTTCTATGCTCTCTTCTAAGGTAAGGTGCTGAAACTCTCTCATTTCAAATTATATAGTTTCAATCTAGTTCAATAGTTTAATAGTTCTTATTTTGCCAACGACTAATAAATGATTAGTCTGTTATGAACTACTTTAAATGCTCTCACAATAAGGGTATAGCCAAGAGAATAAAATAGAGTAATATTTTTTCAATTTCAATTACTTTAACATGTCTGCATTAGTACTCCTTAAAGAGACTACTTTAACTGTTCTCACAATGAGAGTATAGCCAGGAGAATAATAGAGTAATATTTTTCAATTACATTAGTATTTCTACATTAATACTCCTTAAAGAGTTCAGATAGTTTTAAATCCATTGGGTCTTCTTTGGTAATACAATAGCCAACTCTAAAGTTGGCCTATCAAATCAATATTGAACAAATACAATTTTTTGAATGAGTATATTAAGAAACATATGTAACAATTTTCACATTAGATCATAATGTTTAGCAAATCTGTTGGAAGTGAGTTTGAGTCTTCTGGTGTGAGTTGATTCTTTCTTCGGTAATAACATATCTGGAGTTCCGAGTTTTCATGTGTAAGTAGTCGAGTTATGTGCTTTACACTAATCGTTTTTGGTATATACTAATCAACATTGACAATGGTTCTTAATATTTTTGATTGTTGCCTTTGAATAATTTGAATGTTAGATCTGGAGGCAGTACCCCAAAGTTCGAAGCGAATATTATTATAAATATTACCATTAATATTATTATTATTTCGTTAATATTGTTTATTCAAAATTTTAGAAAATTTTATTATTTAAGTATATAATAAATATTCATAATATATGGAAATGAAACTTCCTTAAAATCATTAAAAAAATTTTTTAATTCTCTTATTTGGCAAATAATTTTAATTATTTATTTATGTTTCATTCTTATTTACAAAAGGAAGCATTACGGATCTACAAAGGCCAATAAAAATTATTTTGAGATACCAAAACAACACGCGAAGATGGATAAGAAATTTTGTCTTCTTACAGTGAAGATCAATATTACAACGCACTCTCTCTCTCTCTCACACATATTTGTTTTCTCTCCACCAAAACTTTTTAAAACTCTTATACGTTGTACAGTATTTAATATTTTTGCTGGCTGCTTTAACAGAATTGTATTGATTCTGTTAAAATTATAACAAAATATTTGGTATCAAGAAGATGTGAATTGTAGTCACTGGCTAAATTGTTGCTAGACACGTAATGTTGGTCAAAAATACTAAATTCTAAATTCTTTTTTTTTTTTTTTTTTTTTTTTTTTTTTTTTTAAACTTCATTTTATTAAATACAATCTATTCTATTCATGAATAATAAGTACTACTTATGGCAATAACAATATATGATTGGCATGTACGGGACTACCCAGTGGTAATCACCGCCTTATGAAGAATTACAATTTTTAGAATCTGCTCGGCAAATCCGAAGTTGCATAGCGTATTAATCTACGAATGTTAAAAGCATCCCTCGTTAGGCCTGCGGCAAGGGGGTTAGGATGAACTACCAGTCGTGAGTGATAGTTGCTGCTTATCTGCTGTATTGACTCGTACACAGTAGGGATGCCAAGATCATGATGTAGGACGTTATTCGGGATAAACCATGGGGCGTTGGCGCAGATACGTAGTATTTTTGATTGAAACCTCTGAATCATATCTAGGTTTGACTTCGCTGCTATACCCCAGATGGGTATACCGTACGTCCAGATTGGCTTTAAGACGACCTTGTATAAAAGTATTTTATTTTGTAGCGATAATTTGGATTTGGGATTAAGTAGCCAGTAAAGTGAGCGTAGCTTTAGTCCTAACTGCTTCCGTTTTGTAAAGATGTGGTGACGCCAATTTAGACGGCGATCAAAATGTACACCTAGATATTTGGCGTTTTCAGCTTGCGGCAATTCACGGCCATTCAGTCTAACGGAAGGGCAGGTACCGTGGCGGAGTGTAAAAGTAGTTTGAACTGATTTGTTATCGTTAGCTTCAATGTGCCAAATGTCTAGCCATGCGTTGACATCGTTCAGATTACTTTGCAAAAGTTGTGAAGCTACTACAGGATCTGCGTGTTTCGCCATCACTACAGTATCATCCGCAAATGTTGCAGTGTATGTTTTAGCGCTGAGTGGGAGATCTGCTGTGAACAGAGTATATAGAGTAGGACGCAACACACTTCCTTGGGGAACTCCAGCCTCTATTTGAAAAAGTTCAGTGTGACAGCTATTCATTTTAACCATAAAGTGCCGATCTAGTATATATGATTTTAAGACGGAGAAGTAGCTATGCGGGAGTTGTAACTTTAATTTGTAGAGAAGTCCAGTGTGCCATACTTTATCGAATGCTTGTGTTATGTCGATAAAGGCTGCTGTGCAGTATTCTTTATTTTCCAATGCAAGTCTTGCAAAGTTATATACTCTATTTACTTGTTCAATAGTAGAGTGATGTTCGCGAAACCCGAATTGGTGGTTGGGAATCAGACATCTATTTTCGATAACTGGCTTTAGACGTTTTAGGAATACTCTCTCAAATACTTTTGACAACACAGGAAGTAAGCTGATCGGTCTGTAAGATGTTGCAAGTTCGACGGGCTTTCCGGGTTTTGGAATTAATATAATTTGAGCGACTTTCCATTGAGCTGGGTAGTGTTCACAGGTGCAAATTGCATTGAACAATTGGTTTATGAATTTAAAACCCACATCTGGTAGCTCATGTAGCACCTTTCCGGTTATCAGATCATATCCTGGAGCTTTTCTGGTTTTAATTTTGTTTTTTATGACCCACTTTAATTCACGAGTCAAAGACCTAGGAATAGGAAAGTCTAATTGATGCGGGTGTGAAGAAAAGCTTCAACTTCAGAATCTTTCAGATTATTTTTTGAGCAGCGTGGCTGAAAGACTTTACCAAGATGCACTGCAAAAGTTTTCGCTTTATCAGCATCAGTTTTAGCCCATTGCCCATTACTCATCTTTATTGGTGGTATATGCGATGTTGGTGCATTAAGTATGCGTGTGGCTTTCCACAAGGAGTACTCAGTGGCCTCAGAGGAAGACAAGCTTGCTAAGTAAGTTGCAATGCTTGCATTTTTTCTTGCCTCTAGATTTATTTTGAGTTTTTTAGTGGCTACATTCAGGCGCCTCTTATCGTTAGGATCTCTCGTCATCTGCCAAACCCTACGTAATTTACGTTTTTCAAGTAGTTGTTCTTTGATATCCTTGTCTAGATGTACAGTCCTACAATTCTGTGTAGACGGAGTTGCAGACCAAGCTGCCTTTTGTACAATTTTGTTGAATTGTTCTACTGCGGCTTCAATGTCATGATTAGTTTTAAGAGGAATATGTGTCGAGAGGTGTTCGCTAATGTAACTACGGAAAATAGCCCAATCAGTTCTTTTATTGTGAAGTCTAAGTTCTGGAGTTTTTAAAACGATATTCGAATGAATTTCTAACAGAAGAGGAGAGTGGTCAGACGAAAGATCTAACGACGACCGCAAGGTTAGATTATTTATGGGTACACCCTTACAAATGCAAAAGTCAATGACATCTGGTGTTTTATTTAGATCTGTCGGCCAGTAAGTGGGTTCGCCAGTAGATAGGTGAAATAGGTTGCTTTCTTGTATCGTTTTTAATAGCTCGCGTCCTCTGGGTGTTATTAATCTTGAGCCCAGAGGACGCGAGAATTCTAAATTCTAAGAATATGTGCATATGTAACAATAATTTATTTTACATTCCTTGTTTTTTTCAAATAAATAAGCATATATTTTCTCCCATCCATAAATGTTTATGAAAAAAATGGTCAGCTTAAAACAGAAAAAATTAGCAACAATTTGCTTTGCCTAGTAAAGCCGCCATATAAACAATTATTCCAAATGTGTGTTGTGATCTTTAACAGAATCTTGCTTTAACAGAATCGTATTAATTTCTGTTAAAGTCAAAATAACAAAATGTATGGTCTTCACTGGCCAATGCAAATTGTTGCTAGACACCACTTCAACAAAAGCTCTGAAATTAGTATTTTTGTTTTTGCTGTGATCGCGCAAACTTCACAAGCTTTGCTCTTCTCAAGCACTCGGCAGTCTGTTTTGTTTATTCGTTCGAGGTGGAAGTGCTTCGCTCGTAGTCGCGTAAAAAATTATTTCTTTTGTTTTTTTTTTGTTTTGAAGCTTCTGAACGCAAAACGTGAGCGGTTAATAACATCGCGTGTGTTTAAAAATGTTAGTTTGTGTGTTTACTTTGGCATTGTAGCTGAAGGTATAAAGCAAAAACCAAGAAGAAAGAAAAAAGCAAAAAAGCAAACGACGTCTTTACAGTAAAAACCAACAAAAAAAAATAGAAATTAACAGAATTACGGCAACGAAACTAATTCATGTGTTTGTTGTTGTTGTTGTTGTGAATATTGCTGAGAACTGGAAACAATTTTTGGTAATACCACAATTTTAATTTTTTGTGACCATTAAATAATTATTTAAAGTTATTTTTATTGTCATGTACATTTGCAAAATAAAATAATTATTTAAAACATTAAAATATTTTAATAATCGTTAAAATAATTAAAAATATTGTAGA